TAACAGACAAATGCCAGCATCTCCTGGCTGGACCATGAGCTCGAAAAAAGGGACCTCCGCATCTCAACAACTGTATTTATCAATAACTCCCTAAACAACTAAAAATACACACACAAAAAACCCAACCCCCAAAACCAATGCCCGTTAAAGTTAAAGGATTTGAACCAGGGTTGTTCATATGCCTAGCATGACAGTGACTAAGCTAACGGCAAGCCCTTATAGTCACCCTATCCTCTATCCCTCTATTTACAGCAAACAATGGGTCTGACTGCTTTTTAAGCTATAGACTGTTTTATGTCTTACCAAAAGTTTTACAGAACTTGCAACAAAAATTGGTAACATTGTTAGAGCAGAGCGACAAACACAAAAAAAGGAAGAGAGATATGTACGACAGATATTTGAAAAGAAAGAAGGTGCAAACCACATCAGGGCACCCATCAACCACACACGTACGCTGTCGATGCTGAACTCTGGGGAACAAAAAAAACAAAACAAAAACCCAAAAGAACGATAGCCAAAGACGGGTTGAAACACGGGCATCAATACATCAATATATTGAGCAGTTAGAACATAAAGCACAACGCGTAAAAGCCGATGATTAGATGTGCTATCAGAGAGAAAAAACACAAAAAAGGGAGGGGATACCAGGAAGATAGATTATGTTTGACAGGGCAGAAGGAACAAACCACACTAGAGCATCAGCAAAATATTTGTTAAAAATTTTTTGGGGGGTAGGAGGGGTTGCTTGAAGAGTGTTATACAGTTATGCACAGTGAAAAGCGGGCCAGGTATCGCCGAGAGGTTACACAAGAAGAAAAGCTGGACGCATACAAACGCAACAGCTGTAAAGCGGGGAAGATTAAGAAAAGACGAGAGTCCTCAAACGTCCGGCTTACTTTTTTTCCGTATGAGTTGTACAGCACTTGCAACACAGTAAGGTCAAATAAGAGCCGAAAAACTAGTGTTACAAGAGTAATAAACAAACTAAAAAAGAAGGGGGAGAGATCAGTACCACCTGATGTTTGATAGGAAAGAAGGAGCAAACCACACCAGAGCACTCACCAACCTTCGACTTATTTCTAGAAACGCGCTCCAATATTATGAAAAATATTGTTGTAACCCTACCTTTGTAACTTCACACGGTTGCTAAACATAACATGCAATATTAATACAATGTATGTCCTTTCCTTGTTCCAGTCAGACCAACCATTGGAGATCGACAGTATAATAAAGCAAATGCAC